GAAATTAAAGCGAGCTTTTCCGGTATTTGCAGTTCGTCACAGCAATAAATCGTGTTTCTGCAGACGAAGTACAGTACTTATAAATCCTTAAATAATTGGTGTACTTCCTCTCCGATCCAATCGGGAGGAAAAAGGGTTCCGATACATTCCAACAAGTACCAGCGCGTCTCAAATTTGACAGAAAACTCGTTTTCAATTTTACGAGTCTAACAAGAACGCCACTTATATTCGCGACAATGTGATGGGTACTCTTATTCTTCATTGAACAGAGTTGCCGTTTCGGTAAAATTACACTGGGACCGCGACATGCGGACGATTCGACTTAGGGACACTTGCGAAAACAAAATCTGCCCCAACATCCGGAAGCTTTTCCAACATTCCTAGAGAAATCAAAAAGTTTTGCTTATCGAAATTTCGACACTGCATCTCCTCAAAAACTTGAGCATTCAAACTTCACAAAAATTGAACATAAATTTCATTTTAAAATTACTTCAATATATACTGTCAAGAACAAGCTAATTTTTTTATTCTTTTCAAGTGTTTTTTCCATGACGTGTAATCTTGTTCTAAGCTCAACAAGATCTTGTTCTTTGCTTCTTGAGCTACTTCAAAAGTCAAAATATCTGATTGTGGTTTTCTTCTGTACAGTTATTTTTTGTATTGTGAAGTTGAGAAACATTTCTATTAAATTATTTGGGACTTTATCCCAATATTTTCATGAACAGGTGAACCAAGTAAATGTGTTCTATGGGAAAACGTCACCAGACATATAGGGACAAGGTCCGAGTCTGGATCTCGGGGCCCCCACAATAATTAAAATAATAATACAGGAATTGGCAAGACAACTTACTACAGTTTTTTTCGTCTGCCCCGTCATTGCACTCGGTTTTCCCGTTACACTGGAGGTGACTCGGGATGCACGATCCATCGCCGCACTGTCAGAACAACACGAGGAGATAATTTAAGTCACAGAAACCGGTTGAATTAACAGTTCGGAAGCCATTACTTTGAATTGATCCGCTCGACAGGATGAGTTGTAACGTTTGCAAAGTCGTTCGTCTTCGTCCGACTTGTCCTCACAATCGGCCGAACCGTCGCACACCCAAGAACTGTGAATGCACATTTGCATGGTTTTGCATTTCCACTCTTGCTTCTTGCAAACTTGGGCGGAGCTGCTGTTGACCAATGGACAATTCTGCGAACGAGAAAAAAAAGTATGATTAATTATTCTTTTCCTAAATAAGCTTCTGCAAATCTACACAGTAAACACCGGTTTTCAAAGCTAACTTAGAATCCTCAGGCATCTCATATAATTTGATTTGAAAAGGGAAGAAAATACACACGGGTTTTTCTTCCTTCGTTCTATAGAAGGAAGGATTTTTTTATTCCGCTCAAGCTTTGCAGATATACAGTATTAATTCAACGTTATGTTATTTCAATGCAAAAAAATTATGGAAGTCGAGATGACACAGATATTCAAACACTAAAATTTCATGTAGACGAGGTAATCAGGCTACGATAGCTGATTATAAACATCGATGTTCATAGTAACTTGAAAACTTCTTCGTACAGTATAAGAATATTTTAGAATCATTTTTTCGAAGAATGTTGGACCAAAAACAAAACAAAACTTGACGCAAGCTCCGGCTGTTTTGTCAAGAATCTCTCTAATACTCTAAATTGCCGCCAAGACTTGAGCTCTTAATTGCCCACTGGCAGATCGAAAATTGCACAGCGCTTGATATTCATTTTATTTTATATCTCAACAAATTATTCGCTCCATCTTTGAGATCGAATGCCAACCTAAGACATCATTTCGAATTTCCGCAAAATTCCTCAGATCAATGTGTTTTATATAGAACATGGCCATTTTAAATAGTGAATTCACTGTTTAAGCCGCACCAGCGTTTCGGAGCCGAGTAGCACTGGAGTAGAAGAGCAACTTATACAGTCATGGTCAAATTAATGAAAGGTACTACAGTACAACACAGTAGCAATAAAGTTTACGTAACTTCTGTCCAATATTGCAAGAAATCACCACGACAATTTACTGGAAACTCTTGCCAACATACATCGACAGCAAAAGTTACTCAACCATGGCGTCAGGAATCATGTTTCCTTAGGAGTGACATCTGTCGATTCACTCAACTCTCCCACTCATATCATGTTAGGGAGTACAGTACAGTACAGCCTTTCTTCACTTACCCAAAAAATCCGCACGACAACCACAAAAAGTAAGTACGGCATGTTAACACAGAATAGGACAAGCGTTGGACATTAGAAAATGCCACACCCGCCAAAAATGCGTACACGTGGACAAGTATATAGTACAGTGCATTACAAAACAGGGCATATATAGAAAGTTAACAACTCACTTTTTCATCACTGGCATCCAAGCAATCCGCTTCGCCGTCACAATGCCAGCCGATCGGAACGCAACGTCCATTCGAGCACATGAATTCCTCGTTGGAGTCACAAGTGGGTTCCGGGCAACCCTTTTCGTCGGACCCGTCGTCGCAGTCCGGCGACTGGTCGCATACCCAGCCAGCATTGATGCACTTGCCATCTCCGCACCTGAACTCCGCTGCAGAGCAATTCCTGCCTATGCATCCGATTTATGATGGAAACTCGGGATTAGAAACTTGGTCCAGGACACACAAACGAAAATTGTCAAAAGAAAAATTTTGAGAAACGGGTCTTCCGGACCGGAGTGAAGAAGCGCAAATTGCACCTTTGGGAGGATGGTTCAAAACGTTTTCCAGCATGTTTTTTTTACGGTGCCAAGCTTCGAAGAACTGTACTGTAATAATCATCTGTAATTTGCGGTATCAATAATTCTAGAGACTCGTGAGCGAACAAATTTTCATTCGTTTAGGATTAGGTTTTTAAATGTTTCCTCACCAATTGACAAGAATTGCCGGGCTCAGAAAAATCGTTATCCTTGGAAAAAAAATATACATCAGATCTCGGACACATTAAAAACGAAGTTTATCAATTCGAGATACAGAAGAATCTCGGTATAACGAATTATTCCGTACAACGAATTCGTCTTCCATGTCTTTTCCCGATAGGCATAATGTTATTTAAATTGCGATACTAAGATTTTATCTTTACAAAGAAGCTTTTTCCCAGGTTCCCAACAGCTTCGTTGTACCGAGTTTTTCCTGTACTCAACACATTAAGTGACTGGACAAGTGTGAGATTAACCTCAGTTATTCCAACTCATGGGGTGTACTGTACATCCATTTCTGATTCCCTGAATGTCACATTGGGAGAACCATTGGGATAGTGTTCAGGAAATTATCTCATCTTACTCTTATTCTAAATTTTTTTTAAATTTTCATCAATTTAACAAGAATAAAATGCAGGTAGACTCCGTCCACAATGATTTTGTCTGTATAACGAATTCTTTGGACCCATTGGGATTCTGCACCCTTCAATTACAGGATTGCCGCTAAAACGTTTTTTTTTTTTTTTG